TGACGTCGACTGTGAGTCGAGCGTCGCGACCGATCAGGCGACGAGGAAGCCGAGAGACTCCCCATATACGAACGAGGCGATAGAGGGCTCGGCGATCGAGGAGTACTCCGCGCTTGACGCGGGTCTCTCATCACCAGTCGCTCTAGGATGTCCAAACGGGTCTTCAGGCGGTCATACCCCTGACGGTCCCTCGCCCTCACATCGCGCAGATCCGAGGTCAGTCGCGAGACTTGATATCGAAATCTGTCACCTGCCTCTTCAGTGCAGCAGACTCAGCCTGCGACTGAACAGCAGCAGGGCAGGCAGCCGCGAGTAGGTGGGCGTAATCGCCGCTCCTATCGGGCGCCACCTGTGTTGGTGGACACGGAAGGGAATACGCGCTTCCTTGTTGTAAGGCTGTTGGCCCACCGGTTTGTGAAGCGAAAGCTCCAAATCCTTGTCCAGTGGAAGGGTTACCCAACGAGCTTTGACTCGTGGGAGCCTGTGGACGCTTTGCGCGTTGACGTGCCTGGGCTGGTGACTGCTTATGTGAAGCAGCACCAGCTGTCTTCTTTCTGCTAGGTCCGGAAGGACTAGCAGAAGAAGCGTGGCGATAATTTATTGGGGGTCGCTTACCGCCCAAGATTTCATGCGCACGCTTCATGGCGAAGCTGATTCGCTGCGACCGTTGTTTCGTTGCATCTACATGCAACTTTACACGGCGCCGAAGTTCAGCTTCATACTCGTCGGCTGTTTCGTTAGAACGCAGCACGACAGGAATTGGGAAAGCACGACCAAGTGCTTTGCCCTGCTTTTCCACAAGGGAAAGACGCTATAAAACTTATGAGCGTCATTAGTTGCACGCTGCAAAAGCGCTGCACTAGACCCATCCGAGTTCATCCACTCAGATGGAGGTGGCATTGGTGGCAAGCCACCACTCACGTAGCCGCCCTCGCGACGGCGGGCTAGTGAGGCCGAAGGTGTACTTGGTGGAGCTTTAAGCTCACATTCACCTGAGTCTGAATCTCCATTATGGATTGTCAAGACATCAGCAGGAGGAGTCAAATCTGACTGAGTCGCGACTACTCCTTTCGTAGTAGCGCGCTCAGTCTTAGTCGCTGCACTCGTAGGCGCGCAGGCGACGAGGTTTTACCTTCGCTTGCAGGAAGCATAGATGCTACCTCAAGGACGAATGCCTCGAATGATGGGGACATATGTCCCATCAAAGCGCTTTGCTCATCGCCACTTTGGGGTGATGGCAATGGAGTAGTCTCATTGTAGTCTACAATGAGAGATGGATCTTCATCCACATTATAGTGAGGTGGAAGATTCATTTCAGTGCCTGAAGCACTTTGCGACGGCTGCGATAAATCGCGGCGCATGCGCTTAATGCTGGACTGCATGGGTGCCTTTGAAGGCGACCCATCAGCATTACCACGCTTCGGTGGCATGAGAATTGAGTAGACTAAAGCGGCGCGTTTATAACGGCTTGCAAGTCTCTCTGTCTCTTAGGCGATATTTTACAAAATGTAGAATTATTCTAAAACGGTGGATGGTGTAACAGGGCATCTAGTTACACGCAAACATTAAGTAATATACTTAATGTTTTTTCTAAAAGTATCCATGATTACTTATGACCTGTCACTTGGGTGCGATACACAAATGTGATCCACCCTCGTGAATGTGATATCCATTTATGGATTCACATGGGAAGGGATGACGCTAGGCATCGCGACGTCTCAGAAGGACGTCATTCGCAAACTTAAATCTAGATTTAAGTTCATGCGACAGGATACGCTTCTAAAGAGTCGCGTATCCGATCTATATATATATAGCCATTAAGTAGTTAAGTTTATATTTAATTATAATTCATTAAACATAGCTCAGTCTTGAATTTGCTAACACCGAAGCACCACGCACGAGAAGCTGAAAAAGCTTCTGCGTGACTCGGTGACTTTTTGTTTTAGAAGTTCGTTGCACTCTCGCTTAAGCGATAGGCAACTGGTGGTACGACTGCTTAAGCAGTCGACCAACCGCATAACCACCCTCTCACGCGAAGATAAGACGGTCTAACCGCTTCCTCGCTTGTGCATAAGGTGTGTGCTAGTAGCACGAGGCAACTTCGTAGAAGTGCCCGTCTACAGCAAGGCTCTGTTATTGGAACTGGTCTTCCGACACTTATGTAGCTTTTTGCTTGCGACCGCTAGGCGTCGTCTAGGCTGGAATGATAGTTGGTTAAATTCTTTAACGAGCGCAACCCCTATCATTCGGCAGGCTCATCTGTCAATCGAGAAAGGTCCACAAGTAGCTAGCTCACTGTCGTCCTGGGTTAGGATACGCTCGATTGATATTGTAAGAAAGTCGTATAACGCTTGTTTAAGAGCTGTGGCCAGTACGGTGCTGTGAGTTTGACAGAGAATTGACCGCCATTCGGATGCGAAATAGGTTGCAATTGCGTCTCCGTTCCGGAAAGGCTGCCTATTACTCCGTTTCAGCCCCGAAATGAATTGGTCTTTACCCAGTTCGAGATTCGCTTACATTGCTATCGCAGACTATTCATAGTCCGGTCAGGTAGTCTGAGCGTCTTCGAGTCCTAAAGCTTTGTAAAGACTCCAACTCCAGGATTTCGAGCCGTCCCGACCAAAACCTCCTGATCTGACAAGACGGGGGACGTTGTACACGATTGAAATCGCCAAAGAGTACCACCTCTAATTAAGACCAAGGCTAGTCCCGCATTTGAAGGAAGGGACGTTCCATCTCATCCCTATCATTAGGAGCATAGACGTTAACAAAAAGAATGAAGTTGACGACGACGACGACGACGACGACGACGACGACGACGACGACGACGACGACACACACACACGACGACGACACGACGACGACGACGACACCATGCCATCACCCTTTTTGACCAAAGCTCCGTATGCCACCGCTGGCCCACTTAGTGCTTACACGGATCGAGCAATATGGCCAGACCACCGGCTTTATCAGCACTGACGCTCCAATATAGGATGCTTCCATGGCGTTCCGTATACTGCGCACCCTGTTTAGATATCCAAGAGTCAGCTACCTCTCGGGCCGCGCTCTCCAAATCGATTTATGTCTCTGTAAACCCCACGCAATGGTATTGGTTCATGTACTTTGTATCCTCCAACCGCTCATCGAGTTGTGCCGGTCCACCCTTTTTAAACCCCTGACATTATGTATATGGTCAAATCTGGCTCCCTTCCGTCCACTTGCTTGGCTAGGAGAGGGGTAGCTGGAAAGAAGAAATCATTAACATTCAGGTGTGCCGTATAAGCGACCCGTCCAGTTCCACAGCTGTAGGCAAGATACGCCAACCCTCCGCTTCGGTGCCCTAAGTATTGAATATCGTTGAACGGAATCGTGTGCGAGGGATGTCGTGAAAAAAGCAGGAAAAAACGCTTCACTCCTGCAATTAAGAGGCATATTGTAAGGCTCGTCGATACTCGACATGCGACCGAAAAGCCTCTAAATAGGGTCGAATCCTGTCGGGTACTGCTTTATCCGCTTCTGCCGGTGTCCCTGTCAAGTTTTTAATGTCGACAGTATGTAAGATAGCGTAAATGGTATGCCAATGGTACGTCAAAAGCCGTTGTGCTTCTGATAACCGCAATATCCAGGTTGCGATAAACGGGTTTCCCTTACTGCGATCTAGAAGAACCTTCTGTGCAACTTTGTCTCCTCATGGCCTATCCAACGCGATACGTGACGATGGCATTGCACAATGAACGAAAAAGGAGACAGTTCGGAGCAAAGAGCCAGTGCTACCGCCGTCGCCTACACGTCTCCGCTATTAAAAAATACTCGCCATGGAACGACGTGTACGGCGGTGACAAGTCGGACGAAAGTGACTCGACCGAGCCTGGGACCAAGCAATTTCTCTTACGTAAGGTTGCCTCGTTTTCAGTTGTTAGCGATAAATCCTGCCGGCAAGATTTCATACCTCTTCATTACAATTTCATCACATGATGAAATTGTTTCTGCGCTTTTAGTGTAGACGGTCTATTCACAGAAAGTATGTTATCCATGCACAACATTTTTTGGTTGTGTAATAACATCTTGCCGGTCTGCCGATGGCCTGGAGGGAGTTCTCTCCGTGGCTCAAGTGGATGACAACAGGTCCCGGGGCTCGCACTTAGCGAACTGGTCGGCGACCACATGGGAATTCGAAACTTTTTTTATAGCTCCAACACCCTTGGATATCCTGCGGACTGCTCCCCTTTCGGGTCGCACGCTACGTTGGCTCTTTTACCTTGGCCCCACTATGCTCGCCTAAGAAAGGATAAGGGGGAGCCGATTTACCGGCTCTACGAAAAGTTCCGTCTCTGTCGATTGTCGCACTGGGCTGTCACAAGGGAAGTGTTCTTTGGTCTTCTTTTCACGCTGAATACTTTGTATCGTTGTACCGAAAGATACGGTAATGATAGGAGAAGCAGTGGAGATCAGCATTGTCCAGGCAGCACCGATTTGCAGGAAGAGATTTTACGGATTGGAGTAAGATACGCGGCATGCAGACCAGCCACGATCTGTAGGGTGTGGGCAAACAAGTATTGACCCAGCTAAATGACCCGAGCATCAACCTATCTGAGCTCGCTATCGCAGATCCGAAATTTTTCACTAGCCATAAATGAGGGTCTCAGCGATGGTGCAGGCGTTTGCGAAGATATATACAAGTCTGCGTACCCTTCATCGAAGTGGTTTAGATGGTCAACCACAGAAGCCACGGGAGACGAATTCCTGAGAAGTTATTCCCTCAATAACTGTTTCTTGGGGACTTATTCCCTCAGGATCATTGGAACTTATTCCATCGACTTCCTTTAGCTGTGGCTGCGCAATATGTTGGCACGCATGCAGAACCTGATCAAAGAAAGATGAATCGCAATTCAGCATCGTACTGGAGAAGCAGCAAATCTAAGGTCTTCTGTAACTCGGAATGGGCTCCTAAAATTGCCATTATGTTACTACATGTAGAAACTAGTAAGCGCCAATTATTGCTAGCTCATCAAGCCAAGGTGGTGGTTGCTTGTCGAACTGGAGACGACTCGATCAGGCCCGGTAGAACAGCTTGTTAGGGTAGCTGTTTCAGGCTTGGGAACCCAGTCTCCTTCATCCCTTGATGTCTTTTCTCCCTCCTCGGAGGAGACGTCTTCAGACAAGACTGGTTCCAAAGCTCTAATCAACACTTTGATTGCTTCCGCTGGTTTTGGCTCATCGGGTGCATCCAGCGGAAGATCAATTTTAATATCGTTATTACCGCATGCGGTGGAATCCAACGGTGATGGCTCCGAAATTGGAACGCAGTGAGGAGTACATAAGTCTTGCATTCGTTTCTCCGTCGGGCTCACGACATTTTGCAGCTTCGAAGTGTGAAACGAGGACGGTTCAGTCGCCTCGTTTTCCGATACTTCACTGCTCAGTAATGTACGCTTAGAAAGGATCACAACGGGGTCGACTACAGCACTCGGAGTTGAATGGACTACAGGCGGAGCAGACTGTACGTTTTCATCGTTGATCTGCGGCGCATTTTTTGGCGCTGCGCGGGGAGAGAGCCTAACACGCAGAATCGATCGCAGCGAACCTGTTCGTTGCTTCACAGGCGGACGCACTGGAGACTTCGTCGACCCAGGCGGACGGAAGACGAGCAGCTTCGAGACTGCAACGTCCTTGTCAAATGCGCACACTGCGTCACCATCCGCAAACGAGATTTTGGACGGCCTCCAAATATCGTCTTCAATCAACTTCGTCTTCACAATTTCGACTTCCTGAGCATTTCCAGTCAATCGCTTGCGCACTTGATCTAAAACCACTGTTGAGCGCCGGGCTCGCCAATTATTTGTAGTTCCCATCTCGCTTGCTGTCACAACATTTCCGAAAATATCTCTGTCACGGCGAAAGATGCTAGTGTCACGACCATTACGCGAGTCTGTTCATAGCAACGCACCCATCGGTCAGCAAAAAAGTATTTATATATATATAAACGAGAGAACAAGCAATCCAAAAGACATACTCATCAGGCTCAGCAAATGACTTGCAGAATTGGACCGACCGCCATCATTGCCGACATTCAATGCCTTTCCTTTATCCAGTCTAGTATCTTGCAATCGCGACCGATCCGTCAATTTAACCGACGCTGGGCGATCATCACGTTTCGCGCCACGGAGGGCAGAAGAACATTGCCTCTGTGAATTTGATTCTCGCGTGTGACTTTCTTTGTCGCGTTGAACCTTACCGTCGACACTTATATTTGGTTTTTGATCCACTCGGTGGACTCCAACGTCAGCTTTTAACTTTTCGATTACCCATGCCGCAAGACTAGGTATAGCAGAATTTTTATAAGATCCCCGTCTTTGAATTCCTCGTACTTTCTTGCCGATTCTGCTGTCGATAATCACGTCCTTTGTCACACCAGGCAATACGGCAAGGGCCTGTCATAATTGTACCTTAGAGTGAGTATAGCCAATGTATAATCATTCGGCATCAGTTTCGAATTTACCTTTAGAACAAGCAGTATCCCTGGTTCCGTTTCGACTTGATCTTCCCATTTAGCCAACAGTTCTGCTAAAGAAGTGAGGCCGTCTTTCTGCACGAACACCTCCAGTGCTTCTTTATCCTTCGCAATAAGCATAAAGTAGTAAGATCACCGGTACACGGCACGATATAAAACCTGCAGGTCGCTAGTTAAAAACATGGCAACATACCTTTAGATCTGTCGAGGAAAGAGCTTCTAGCTGCGTCTTCATCACCGAGTTTTTAACAGTGCTCACAATAATAAACAGCACTTTGCGAACAATGTTGAACTCGACGTTATCGACCAATTCCATGCCTGTTTCATGGATGTCTGGGCTCGATGGCGACCGAACACCGGATAACAATAAACTTTCCGTAAGGCTCCGCTGGGTCTGCCCTTTGACTTTAATGTTTTTGTCAAATCTCTTTAACCGCTTTAAAGACGACGATGGAGTACTGAGCCTCTTTCTCCCTTCATTTCGACAAGGTTCCTCCTTTTTACGTTTTCTCTTTCCAATAATTCCAAATGGGAGCAAGTCTGCTGGAATGCTGTCGAGAGTGTCTTGGTACGTAAGATCACAGCAATCCCCGTCAAGATACATCACACGAAACATCTTTGTTGCAGGGAAATAGCTTGCCACATGACCCCGCACAACATCGAAACCGTTTTCTTCCTTTGTAACTGTTCTTTCCACTGGCTTTCCAATAAGCAAATTAATTTCTTCTGGAGTTCCTTCCGACAATATATAGCTAGCTTTTTCATCATCTTCCATTTTTTCCGTTGCTTCTTCTTCTTCTATTTCTTCGTCCTTCCCTTCATCTTCTATAATCGTGTCGGCCGGAATGGACACAGTTGGCGACTCATTCGTCGCCTCAAGGGAACAAGACGAATCAGTCATACTATTACTACGCATCAGCCCCGGTGCGTTTTCATTAAGGCTCAGCACTGTCGGTCTCCTTTTCTCTTTAGATGCAGTGCCAGACGGAATCACCGTCACTTGCGACGACATACATATACTGTTTTCATCTTTGTCTCTCTTCATAGCTGGTGGCGTCGATGGCTTACTTGCTTTAGGTGGCTTGGTTACCTTGAGAGTCTTGGGTGGCCTTTTTGGCTTAGGCAGGGAAAGAAGGTGTAAGTTAACATCATCTTCCGTCATCTCTTCGCTATCTCCGTCATCATAGGAAATATGATAAAAGTCCGTTTGGTCTGAATGGTGGTCTACCGAACCTTCAAATGGATTCCTATAACCCTTAAAATACTTTTTGACGCGAGTTCCCAGCGGAAACCGTTGCGTGAAGCAAAACCTAGCCTAGCAACAACAGCAGCACCAACAGCAAAGTGCATTAACATCTATAACAACACCTCATCCTTTAACACCGCTCTCTCGTGTTTTCAAACACATGATAGCGGTGGCAGCGGGACATCAGACCCGACATACTGATGGCCGCTCGCTACTGACAAAACAAGCTTTCCAGTAAACTGCAGCTACCGACCATTTTTTCTTTATAAAATCTTGTGCACGCTGATTTTTGCTCAACAAAAGCGTCGTTCTCTTCTTGTAAGTACACGGTAGACAGTGCAACCTAAAACACTCGAAGTGGTAATAGAAGTGGACGTTAAAAGCGTTATAGAGCAGCCGGTGGGCGTCGAGCAAGCTACGCAGTCTCCAAACAAACAAGCGTTTCTGCGCTTGTGCGCTCTTGATATTTTAAAGAAGTGAGAAAGGGAAATACGCTAAAAAACACTTTGCCATACCGGTATGATTTTCTAGATATTAAAAATACCGGTATGCTCCTCTCAATAAAAAGTACATGATGTGGTGATGAGACACAGTGCGACGCTGGGGCACGCTCCCGAGAGCGGTACATACTACTGCAGCAACGACCTATTCTCGTCTTTCATTGGTGCACAATCCACGCGATACTAAGGAGCTACGTCATCCCGCTTTAACGGCCATTACAAACGAGACCAGTGCTGGTCTCAGCTGTCGCAGCAGCTGTGGAGGCTAGAGATGGCGTGCGCGTACTGGCTCCAAATCCGAAGAGAAGTGACGAAGGGGGAAACGATTCCACAGTGTGGAAAGTCTTGCGCTGCCAGTGCGCCACGCCACAAAAAAGGGCATGACCGTAATCAATACCATACTTTCCCGAGGAGTTGATGCGCAGACGGTCTATTTGCAGGAAAAAATCGATGTTGACTGTGTGGCAACACCTCATTCATCTACCATGACGTCTACTGGCTCGATACTTTGGACGTCACAGGTTGCACGCCCTCCTAGAGGAAATTCTCTCTTTGTGGCTTGAGGCTCGTGCTCAGCGAAGTAGTGGGTGTAGACCGTGAAGAGAAGACCCGCACCTCTGATGCAGGGTGATTTAAATTTTGTCGATGCCCCACCCAACACCCTGGGATATCCTGCGGACCACTCCCTTTCGAGTGTTGCACGCTGCCTTCCAACGAGGAGACGGCCTGGAGGTTAAAAGCGGCGAGCTCCATCTCTGGCTTGCGTTGGGAAGTTATTGCTTAAGCTGCAGGAGAAGAATCTGGTAAATATGTCATTGAAGGAAGTCCGCAGCAGGTTGCTGCGTGTCGTCAGTCCATACTGGGATTGACAACACTATGATGATAGATAGAGTAGACAAGGTGTCAAGACTGCAACCAGTCGATTGGGTGGTCAGGAAACTCACGGGGCGAGGGCAGCTTGGAGCACGCAAGTGAGCGAGCTGAAGGTAGACAAACTGTAATGTGAGAACCCTTTTTACCACGGAGCAATTATTAAAAAACTGTACTTGTATCCGGTCTTTCTCCACAGCTTCAGCAGCTCCTTCAGCATCTGCACTCCACTTTTATTCGCAGGGTTCATATGATTTTGATTACGGTCATAAAACCCCTGTTTCGTAGCGTTGCGAGATAGTCGCTTGTCGCCATCTTTCGTTTGGACGCTGACCGTTTGGTTGTGCTCATAATCATCGTCGTGTTGTCGGAGGAACGCCGACACCTCGGACCTCGTCGCAATCAAAAGTATACAGCAATACTTGTCTTATCTGATACTGCCTTAACTGATAACTTCTCTGCATCGCTTCCAGTCCCGACCAGGACAGGTCCCTTCCATTTACTTTTTCGTTCCACAGTTCACAGGAATCGTAGCTAAGTCGCATCAAAGTATATATATATTCGGAGATAATGATCGATCAACTGTTTCTTTGCCATACCTCCAGGTGAGAGCCGTTTTTTAGAAACCTCGACTCTCATCTGCTCTACTGCCAGTATCTGAAAGCGCAGCCCATCTGCTCGGCTGTATAGCACATGCTGAAGCCTCTGACTGCTGTTTGTCTAGAAGTGTTCGCACATAAGCTGCGTACGGCTGCAGCACTAGTTCATGGGTATGATGCGCTACTGTATCGGTCGGTAAATCGAAAAAAGCTGGCAAAAACTCGCTGCTATGGACTTCTGTGACACTGAAAATTTGTCCATGGCGTCACTTAAAGAGGCTATAAAGTCACGTAATGACTTCTGTACAAAGTGTCCTCTGGGTTTAGTGAGTTTTGAAATGCGTTGGAGCCTATCTTAGCTTGCTCCTTTGCAATCATGCGCCTTACTTCATCGGACAAAGTGCAGCACCAAATCAGTTTTAAGCTTGGTGTTAAACTTCCAGTTCTGCTAATTGACGACGAGAGCACTTCAGCGCTACATATCCAATCACTTGTTCGAGGCTTCTTAGCACGACGTTAAGTGTAGTATTGTGCTGCAATTCATTTCACTATGGGATGGATCATATGAAATTGCGATGCAAGGAGCGAATGGCTTCACGTATCATATCCTTTGCTCGCTACGCTCGTAAGAGAATTCATGATATACATGAATAGAGATACCATTAACGTGCCTTAAAGCCATCCACTGCAAAAATCAACGCGAATTTTGCGGCGACATCGTGCGTTAAAACTAGAAGACACCCGTGACCAAATGGAAACTGCTACTATTGTAGCAAATGTAAGCTCCAAATCCGCTGTCAAGACGACAATGGCTGGGGGTTATCAAGACTTCGCCGCTCGAAAGAATGTTTTCGCTTTGATCGGCATCGTTCTCGTGCACGACTAAGCAAGAAATGCTTTCGGAGTATGTAATGAAGGCCTAAGAGCAATTGAAAAGAAGGGAATGGTAAATGACAAATTACATCAAGCTTAACTTGTCAAGTCCGTCAGAGGGCAACGCTCGAGAGAACTACCTCGCCACTTTTGAGTGCACGATTGACATAATATGTCAATGATGTTTTCTGTGCTACTAAGCACGTTAAAAGCTCAATTACCGTCGCCTTAGACACCAGGTCATATTCGGTAAAGCTGTTCTTGCCGCTCGTGCAGTCTAAACTACTCAATGAGCTTAGCGTTTATACTCGTTTATCGAACACAAGGCATGTCCACGTACGCAGGCAAAACAAAATTGTGGGATAGTTGATATTTTCGATGGAAAGCGCGTGATGAAGTCGTCGGATTAAGGAGATGAAAACAATGCAGATTTCATGGGAACGACAACAACCCATTATCAACTTTGGAGACAAGTTAGCTTACCGACAAAGACATGAACTGGGGCTTAGGCGAAGCTTGTAAAACAGAAACATGCTGCATGTTTGCTTCGAGCTCGAATATTCTTTCCACGTTAAGCAGCGGGTGCGAAAGTACAAAGAGGATATTGAAGAATTGCGTATCGAGGTGGAATACCTGGAGCGCGATATGGAAGAGTGCATGTTGAACGAAACCATGATACTTAAGTTGATCGGTTGGCACGAGCAATGCTACTTTTGTTAAGGAGACGGCTCACAAATTTCGGTAGTTAGCGTATTCAATGGCGCATCAGATATTTTGCAAGCACGTTATCTCCACCAAGCATCAGGATCGGCAAGTGTTGAATAAGGAAGTACTTGCCAAATGACAGGTGGAAAAGCTCTAACTGCTTGCATTTACAATGAAGTAGATTGCACGGCGCAAGCTGAGCTGGGAAATGAAGATACTAAGCACGAGAGATGAGAGATGAAACGCGATGTCAAACGCTTTTTTCCAGATGGAAGCTAATACTATTCAGGAATATCTGTCTCAATACAGACTACCAGACGTGCCTTGAAAAAATCCTGACTCTTTGACTGCGGTTGGTTCTGGGAACAGTCAGGCGACGATAATGGCCAGCGTAAGGTCACACAAAAGATGGACATCAACGACGCATTGACCAATGCGAAAAGCAAAAAGTATGGCCAAACGTTGGTGCTACCAAGATTGATTTTATGACAACTCAACATCCGGCATGAAAGATGCAGTGTAATTTTCACGCCACCTTAGTCATCTGACCAGTCCGAAGCTTCTGATAGACTCAGCGAATCGTCACGATTTCGTAGTCCAACCATTTGCTACGTACGAGACAACCCAAAGATCGGTATTCAGCACACATATGCCAAACTCAGTTCAACATGCACACAAGATAACGCGTGATGCACGTACCGATTCGAAATTCGCCACCGGGTTCTTGATTTCTTCAGTCTTTGAAAGCGATGGCGGCTGCTTGGAAGTAGCAGCAGCAGTTAGACCACCTTCGTCCTGCTTTCTCTTAATGTTCCGGATTTGTGCCAGGAAGTCGTCACCATCAGTGGACTTGTCATCGTCTCCAAAGCGCTCGGGGCCATCATCGCTACCATCGTCTGACATGGCCAATGTAGGCAATTTACCGTATTGCTGTCCGCCGTCAGACGGAGGCGGGGGTGGTGGTGGCTGAGCCGGTGTGGTCATTTCCTTTGCAGTCAGTACTGTTACCGGCTTCGCAGAAGCCTTTTCTCGCTCACGTCTCTGCTCCATCTGGTCTTGCTTGCCACTAATCGCAGCCTGCCGCCGCAGCATTCGTTGCTGCATTTCTTCAGCAATAGTCAGTGGTTTGTTAGCGTTGTCTGCCGTCTTCGCAACAGGGTCGGCCTTGTTTTCACTCGGGCCCACCTACCAGTTGTTCGTAAGCAGAGTTAGAGCATGAACATTATTTGGAGAAGCGTGTCAGCGCCTACTTTTCGGAGCTTGAGCTTCGGGTTTCGGATCTGATCCAACAAGCTGGTGACCGGTGGTTGGTTGTCTATTTCTTCCGGAGCTGGCGGCGTAGGGGGTCCGTCCTGTAGTACATAAAAATGGGGACAACATTTGTGTCAACACATGGTGGTCAAGTCCTTTGAACATTTCGGTGCACCTCTTGTGGCGGAGGAGGTGGTGGTGTGTCCTCGTCCTCACTGTTCATGGGTGGTGGAGGCGGAGGCGGGGCCGCATCATCTTCCTCGTCTCTTTGTGGTGGGGGCGGCGGCGGGGGTGGGGGTGGGGGCGGGGCACCATCATCACCTGTTTTGAAGTCCACGGCGGGCGCTGGTGGAGGAGGTGGAGGAGCGCTTTCCACTGGCCCAACCTGAAAGTTTTGCTTCGATGGCTCTTGAGCTGCAGGTCCATCGGCAAAGTTCGCGATCGCAGGCAAGTCAGGCAGTATTTTGTCCTGAAACATCGAAGGCGCGATCGACGTATTGCCCTCTTGTGCGTACTTGTAGTCAGCAATATTCTCCAGCGGTAAGTTTGTAGGCAATTTTGCCGACATATCTGGCATAATACCCATTGACGGATGGAATTCATAGTTGAGTCCATGAACTGCCGGCTATCAACCACATTAACATATCTCTCGTTAGTAAATAGACAGTAACTAATGCAGCAACTAACCAACCACGCACCAGTTCGTCTCCATACTCGATAGTCCGCGGTGCCTTGGCCAACTCTTTTTGTTTCTCCTCTTCCTCTTCATAATCCGTGCCTAACAAGTTGTCCCATGACGTATACTACAATCAAGTAGCCAATATTAGTTCTCTGCCCTTCTCCATATTTCTTTGCCCTTCTTACCTTCTGGTATGGGTTCTCTCCTGAATTAAACAGTAGCACACTGCCGACTGATGGGATGTACTCAGGCAATCTACCGAGTCCCTCCTTTTCCATATCAGCCTCTGGTTGCTGCGTCTTCTGATACTCATTCACTTTCTCAAAAATCTCCACCACTTCGGCCATATATTGACCTCTTTGTGCCGGAGGCAGCGGCTCTGCCGGTAAAAAGTGTGTGTCATCGTCTGCATCGGGCACCAGTGGCGGCGCGTCGGCGTACGGCTTGTCATAGAACAGCGTCTTAGACAGAGGTAAATTCTTTGGTGCTGGATACTTGGAGGTAGAGAAGACGGTCGTGGGTTTGTTACTGGTACGTCGTGCCGTCAAAGCGTTCACTTTGGCTTGGCACACTTGGATCCGCGCGTCTACGGCAGCCACACGGTCTTTCTCCTGCGAAACTTTATGAAGAAGGCGGTTAAATACATCCCCAACGACAGTGTCCAGCTGAGACAGCGCCTTGAGCACGTCCTTGGCCACAAACTGCGGCTGCAGGTCGCGATATACGCGGTCGATCGCATACACTTGCGACGTCTGCATATTGTCGAGAGTGATGGTCGATGTGGAAACACCGTTATGTGGCACTAGACAATCGGTGACATTGGTGTGAGAACGTGTCCGACGTGCTGATGATTGTCAACTGTGGGGATGGTTTGTATACACAATTGCACACGGAGATTCAAAGTATCGACAACAAGTTCCTCTATCAGTATCTTCCATTGTTATTGGCTCCCGCCTTAATGCTGAAGTCTAGACACAGAGGAACGTGGTCCGACAGGAACTGACAGTTGGGCAGCGCAGTCTTCGAATATGCCTTGAGCACTTTAGGCGAATGCACCTTTAGTCCGGCAAACGGCGTCAGCGTCTCCGGTGTATACCATACATAGTCCACTACACCCGTCCAGCGACCTGGCAATGAGTGCAACATAGCCCAGGGCCGTTAAAAATTACTTCGACATCGCTTCTCACCAAAGTAGTGGCGTTTTTCATATACCTGTATAGTTTGTGTATTCCGGTTCCGCACCGAACACTGAAGCATAGGCACTGGCAAAACCAATGCTGTGTTCCAGGTCAAGCGACGCGTAAATGTTTGCAAATTGAGGTGGTGGGTACTGGATATCCGGGTGATCGAACGGAACATGGTTGCGCGTCATGAAATCGTACACAGCGCTCGTAGGCTCGCTATTGAAATCTCCACAAAGTATCGTCGGCACGTTCCTGCTCAACGTCACTCGCTCAAGCTGTAACAAGACGAATAAACAAAAGGAAGCGTCAGCACATGTCCAGCATTCGTTCTAAACCTCTCATGAACCAACCTGCTTTGCAAGCATATTTGTCTGCCACATCTTAACGTCGGGAAACTTGGGATTGGAGAAAATATGCACGTTTGCAATACAAAGCAACGGTCCGGACTGCGATTTCCGTGAAACTGTTTCGTTGTTGGAGGGAACTACCTCTAACACTGCAATCTGCGCCACGTTGTCGCGCTGAAGTCGTTGCCGCATTTTGTTGAGCAAAGACAGAAACATCTCCCTTGCAGCCATCGAAGGGCCTTGGTAGTCTAGATCGTATTCATTTTGCACCTGGTTCAGGAAGTCATTCGCCAGTGTGTTGAACTCGACCGGGTACCGTTCCTTTAGAATGAATCGGTTCCGCTTGTAGAACAGAGCACATCCATCCACCTTGCCCTCCAGTCCCATCGACTCACGCGATTTCTTCAGGTACCAGCCTTCATATCCCCACTCGCTCATCATCGGAGCAAAGAAACTCTTGTAGTGGTCGCCCTGTACCTCCTGCAGACAAATTATGTCGGCATTGTATAATTGAAGCTCGCGCCTCAGCAATTCCCTCCGAAATGACCAGCTCAAAGCCCAGATGGGGCAGTAGGGATACATCTGTCGCGTAGCATATATCTCGGCCAGGACGTTGTACGTGAGTACACGGAAGACGCCAATCTGCCGCATCCGTGGCGTTAACCGTTCTTCATTCACGTTCGCCAGCATCTGCCGCCTTGGTGGCATGGGTGGAACTTTAGTCGAGCCATATGCATCAGTTCAGCACATACACAGTCCAAGAAAGGAGTGAACTAGCCTAACAGAGCAATATAGTACACACTTACACGGCAGCACGATCCCAGTGTCAACTGTCTTGGTCAGCACGCCGCCACCGATACGCTTCGTGGCCTTGCACTCTACTCGAATCACGCGACCCACGTCCTCAGCGGAAGGCGTGTAGGACCGACTGCAAGACAAAAGTGCCATGCGCGTGAGAAACTCAGTCTCGACCAGCAGGTCAACGACACTGTTTCATCTAGCTAGGGGCCTACTTTTCTTCCTGCACCTTGAGCCACGATTCCTTCGGCAGCGGACAAAATATCTCCATATTATGAAGCTGTGATTTCCACGGGAGGTCGTCTCCGTCCCTTAAGCGAGCCTCCATAAGCGCCTGCGTATCATGCAACTGCTTATGCTTATGCCAGGCCAAGCGAAAGCAGTCCGAACTGCAAAAACACGAGTGTTCCCGCGTGATACCCAGCCTACAGCACTGCACACACTCAATCTTGGCCACAAGCAACAGCACATTGCCAGCGCCATCGCTCGTATGTCGCGTGCACTCGCTGTTGGCACATGCCCGATGCATTGAGGACCTGTACCAGTGAAACTGCATGTCCACATCGTTATCATCAATGTCACCATCTCCAGAACGGAAGAAAGCGTGCGTCATCATTTTGCAGCCTTCTACCGGCTGATCTACGCGTAGCGAGATCTTGCCCTCTCCATGGACGAGACATCCTTTCGGAGGCGACTGCGAGCGTGGACCTCGTGTGATCGTGGGCGATGGCAACATGCGGTAACACGTCTCAGAGACTATTGCAAGGACTGGTTCTACATTGCAGACACGAGAAAGTTTAGAATGCATTGAGCCAAGAGAGCAAGAAGTTATTCCAATAATTAAGCCGGATAGTCACATAGGCTTAAGCATGCTGCTTCCAAAGATAAGAAGACGAAAAAGACACACAGATGTGCATGATAGACGTCGAGACGTACCGTTTAGCAGTAAATGGCGGCCCTGGGGGCATTTAAACGCTCGGCAGGACGGGACGACTTGGTTTCCAGCCACAAATCTCAGGCTAGAATGAGTCCAGAAGACTGAAAAAAGACGTATGAGAGACAAAGACAGAGATCTACGCGCGTAGGTTATCCAAAGAGACGAAGAAGACTTGGTACGAGGGGTGACGGAAGGCCGGCGAGGAGCTGCGTGGCGAGCTGTTGGCGAAAGTCGATTTTGGGTGATGAAGTTAGAAACGCACAATGCCGATTGGCTAAAACTAATTTTTGGAAAAAGTTTGTTTTCATCCAATCCAACAATGTTCATAAGATCCGCCGTTACATAAAAAACATTATTGTAAAAAAAACAAATCATACATTTTATTGTAGCTAATATGAGTAAAAAAATTAAGACCATACACACTCCAAATCAACTTTGCCTCAACCACGTGTTTACATTTCTTCACTTTCCCTTTCTACGTACCAGCGACCAATAACATGGTAGTGCAGCGTCGACCAATGGATGTCGAGGCTGAATTGCCTACAGCTGTCTATGCACTTAATCTACAACGTGTAAGTCAGTTGCTGTGCATTCCCGAGTCGGAGTTGCTCTCAGGTTTTCAAGCAGATCCGACACGTTCCGAGATTCAGGGCGTGATTGTCGATGCAGGTGGGAACGTCCCGTTTGAGACTGTAGGACACGATGCCAGCAGCATTTTATCATCAGATCAAGTAACAGTGGACGTCCATGAGGCTCAATGTGATCGTTCTCGCTCCAATTTGCTGCCTCCATTGTCTCTTGGCCGTTCTACAGCTACCGCTTCATTGTCCGTGACGCCCCTATCACGACGCCCAGCAGTGCGTCAAGTTTTACTTACTGCAGCAGTACGACCGAGTAGTCTGGACGAGAATCAGAGACCCAAGTGTCTGATTCAATTGGGACACCAGACGATCATCAGTCACATTCTCACGCAGCTCTATGCTGCTGGTGTAGAACGTGTCGTGGTCTCTGTGGCTGCAGCAGGTGGTCTGATTATGGCTGCAGTCAAGCAGACACCGTTTTACACAAAGATGAATATTGAGTTTCTAGACTTGGGAAGGGACAATAATGACGGACATGCACGCTCGATCCTGGCAGCCAGGAGCATCTTTCCAGGCCCAGAGCCGTTCCTTATCCATACTGCTGACCATATTTTTGATAAGTCCGTCATGTCGAAGCTATCTGCGTGTCCACTTGGTGACGCGGTCGCGTGTGTGCTTGTGGAAACGGACATTACCGAGTTGACGGGTCTACCACGGACAACCGTTAAGGTGAAGATTGATAAAGATCACCAGCATGTGACGCACATTGGCCGTGACCTGGAGATCTACGACGGGATCGATGCTGGACTGTTCTTGAGCTCACCCGACATTTTCGATGCGTTAAAGGCACTTGCTGAAAAGAAACGTTATTTCTCGCTCGCTGAAGCGCTCGATAGCTTTACCTCGAAATTTTCTGAGGAAAAGAATTCAAACAAAGGCCGGCTCATCTACCTCCCGACTGCTGGAGAAACGTGGTTTAGTATCGAAACGGAAGAGCAGTTAGCGTATACGCAAGACACCGATGGTACGGCTGTCTTGTCCCCCTGGACGGTCTTCTTGGCCTCAACGCCTGTTGGAGACCCGTCACTTACGAAAAATGTGGTTATCGGAGTATCAGCGTCAAACCCAGACTTGTCCCTTCGTGTTGCTGGCAATACAGACAACTCGAAGCTCTTTGAGGGTTTTGTGGTGGGTGTAGGCAATTCGGATTATCCAGAGGATGAAGATGAAGGGATTGATGTATGTGTGGAGGGTGCCACCCCTCGAGATACTTATGATTCGGAGTCTCGACCTCTTTTGTCGTTCAGTGCGCGGTCGAAAGGACTGCGATCAAACTACTCTGCGCGATCTCCCTTTTCCGCCCGTTCGTATATGGATAGTAAGGGCTCCGCTTTTGAAAATGATGAATTGTCGCCCTTTGTGTTGTCCTTCCCCATGGATGACGAAACTCTCAAGACGGTGGGGGAGGAAGTCAACTCAAACCATCGCGCGTACCTGATTGAAATGACTCCGGGCGATCCTTCTGGCGTTTTGCCTCCTGGAGCCGGTTTGTCCGAGTTCTTGCTAGCTGTGCCTGGCAAACATGAGCTAAATCATGATGAGGATGAAGCCTCTATTGAAGGGAGTCTAGTGACTCCACGGACAACAATGGCATCGCTTCACACGGCGACGTTTCTGCCATCGGATATCACACAAATCTCATTGAACACACGGGGATATGACGAAAATCTTGAAGTTACAGTTGTGGTGAAGCGTGAGGCACCAATCATCGGCTACATTTTGCTTCTGTCGTCCCTATTTACAATATCGTCGGTGGGCGTTGCTCTGGATGAGGTCGATCATGTCGTTACACCCGTGATTCGTATTTTCTGGCGGAATATGGCCACGTCAATGGTCACATTACCCTTTGCACTAATGATTCTTTTTCGCGGCCGAGACGAACCTGGTGACTTGCATTGGAAGGATCTGGTTCCTTCTATTGTTGCAGCCGGCATAGCGTACGCATTCTTTCTCGGATCGTTTGTTTTGGCGCTGTCAATAACGTCAGTCGGCCATGCCACGCTATTTAACAACGCGCACTCAACACTGCTTGTGTTTTGGAAGCTTGCCCAGCGGAAGCCCGTAGCTCCGCTTGAGGCTTTGGGTGCTGCTATAGGTGTTGTTGGCGGTGGTGTTACTACAATGGACACGACCACGGGAGGCCCCGACATTGTGTCGCCTTCTTTGGCTGGAGACCTTATAGCACTTGCTGGCGCCGCTGGAGGAGCACTTTACTTCAAGCTGGCCAAAAAGGTGCGCCCACATATGCATCTGCTTGTGTTTCTATGTGGCCTCACAGCCACATCGGCCGTAACGCTGCTGGTGTACATGCTGATTTCGGGCCAAGACCTGAGTCTGTCAACCGATCCATATAATGGTGTTTTTGGGTGGTTGACCCCATCCGTTAACCGGCTGGTGGTGGTGGTCTACCTTGTCTTCATTTGCGATTGTATTGGCACAATGGGTTACATTGGCGTGATGAAGTACTTTGACCCAATTGTGGTGTCGGTGGTTTGTTTAATGGAGCCCATCGTTGCCACAGCACAGGGCATCGTGATGCGCGTTGATACCATACCTGGACCATTTACTTTTGTGGGCGCTGCCCTCGTTATTGGCGGCACTGCCCTCGTGCTTCGCTCGCAAAGGTGCAAGACGGAGAAGGTGGATGCCACAGAAGCCGTTCTAGCGTCGAACGCTACTCCACGTGCAATGTATAGTACGCGCTCGCGAAAGAGAACGCCTCGATACGGCAGCACGCCTCACTAGAAAACTTCAGGAGGCAGTGAGGCGGCCATGCTGAGTTATACAATAGAAACATAATATTTCAAGAAGGCTAACAGCGTTGTTCGTAACACCACTTCTGTGCATAGCGTGAATAAGTACGACCGCTTACCTCGAATCAATCAACGAGCTGCACGACTACTTTTCCCGTGGCGTGACCTGCTTCCAAGTATTCCATTGCCATGTCAGCCTTTTCAAACGGAAACACTTTGTCGATAACAGGTGTAATCACGCGCTGTTTGGCGAGTTGGCCGATTTCGTCCATAGTTGCGCCGTCAGGCACCACAAACAAGTACTCGTAGGTGATCTGAGCTTGACGTGCACGACGAGTCACTGAGCTGCTGAGGCAGTCCAAGATAGCGCCCAAGAAGTACGAGACGCTAACGCCTTGCTGATCACCGCAAGTTGAAAGCGACTTCCACGTCGGCGTCTCTGAGATTGATACGACAGTGCCACCGCGTAGGATGCACTGGAAGCACTGCTTGGCCTGTACATAGAAATATTCAGTTGGTAAACCATACAAATATGATGCTTTCGTGAATCCAAACTACGTACCTCTCCTGTGCAATCCAGAGCAAAGTCGAAGTCTGCCACTTCTCGCTCAAAACGCTTGTGTCCGTAGTCTACGACGTAGTCTGCTCCAAGTAGCCGCAACTTCTCCATCTTTTTGGTGCTTGAGGTCGTTGCAACAGTCTGCGCCTACAAACAAGGTCTTTTACTTACAACAGACGTATCAACCACTGAAATCAATCCATACTTTACCTTAAAGACAGTTTTGGCAATTTGAATAGCAATCGATCCGACGCCACCAGCTCCGCCAGTAATCAGCATCTTCTTGTTCTCCGCCAGCTGTCCCAGTCGAAAGCTTTGAAGAGCTGTTTGTCCAGCCAGTGGTAAAGCAGCAGCTTCCACGTGGCTACAACCACACATGCCATATATAGTCAGTGTCCGGCCAGCGAGGAAAAAAAGTGTCTCTTCCTACTCACGTCAAATTCGTCGGTTTTTTACTTATGTACTCAGCTCTCACGACAACAAAACTGCAACCATAAGAGTTCACGTCGGCCATTCACACTTCACCAATCGAATGAAACAACCACTTTGTGCCTTACTCCGCCAGAGCTCCATTATCATTATGCGACAGCATACCAAACACCTCGTCGCCACGTACAACCTTGTCCACGTCATCTCCACAATAAATTACCACTCCAGAAAAGTCATAGCCGACAACATGGGGCCTGTCATTGTACTTCACGTGAGATAAAACACGAGACAAGCAGCTCAACTCAAAGCTCCTTCACCACGTCTGCTGCTGCAGAATCATCTTTAAAACTCCTTGACGTCGTTTGTAATCAATCTTTATTCATCAGCAACATTGTATTACTCGTCAGAAACGAAGCAGTTTACAGGTAATAGTCAATTAATTAGTGTACGGGGTTAAGTGCCGCTGCGTGAACTTTGACCACGACGTCCTTTGGTCCGCGTAGATCCGGATTCAGCTGCTCATTCATTTGCATGACTGTAGGACCTCCATATCTGCAAGTTGTTATAGAGTTAGAGCGTAGGTAGCGGGTGAGGAAGCAAGGAAGAGGTGGCAGACTTACTTGGTGTAGGACCACGATCGCATCTTTTTGAACGAATTACAGGGTCAATTGAGAATGTGGGCCACATATTACCCAACTTGAAGTAGGGTTTGTACCGTTTGCAGATTACGTCATCATTATGATGGCTTAGGTTGCTTCTATTCAGACATTTAGTCATAGGGGAGCGGTTAGATATCCCACACCTTTTCGTGAATTAGCCCATATTTCCAAATTTGTCCAATTTTCATTGATCAGAATGCTTTTTGCCCTTTTTGAAAGTAAAAAGGGTCGTCGATAATAATGATCACTTTACATGTTAACACCATAATGAACAGACTTGCATCACCGCCCCAGCTTGCATATACATCCCTGGAGCAAGCAAGAGCATTAGCATCATCAGCACTTTACAAACTGCATCTTGATGAATAACTCCGTTTTGGAGTCTTCTTCAGCATTCATAGTCCTACACACAACAACAAAAACTACTTGTCGAAACACCGGAACAGCTAATAACTTTACATATATATGATTCCATTTACACGTACTGCAGACTTGCAGCGGGATGTCTACGTGGTATTCAGCCGCTGCCTTATCCATCTGTCGCAGCATCTCCACATAACGCATTCCGTTGTCACTGTGAAAGCCCAGCTGGTCCTGTCGAAAGTCCGCCACGCTGTCCGTGAGTTGGTTGAGCGTCCTCACGACGACCATCAGCGTCTCCAGCAATTTGAGCGACACGTGCTGTAGAAGTTTATATGTGTGTGGCAGCAAGAGGCAGTGAATGGACAATAGGATTATGGATTCAAACTTGATGTCTTCTCTTCAACCTGCTGTGTTCTCCAAAGCTATCCAAACCACTCATCATGCCAAGCAGCTGCTCTGCCTCCTATCAAAAAGGATAACGCGAATCGAAACATCGCGCCGCATCTCCGACCTACCGAATAGCAAACCCCTCGCTTACCTACACGTACGTCACCACGTCGTCTGAGATCAGCGCCGGACCTGTTTCAAAGGCGGTAACAAATTTGTTTAAAGTATAAGTTGCGACTCAACTGCTGTTGTTTTAGCTCCCGTGTGCAATGGATGGCGTCTTGGGACGAGACGAATATCCGCTGGGCGTGAACGGAGCCACGCATGGACTGGAGCCACGCATAGACTGGAGCCACTTGGGCTTGGCACTCCTGAGGTTTGGACGAGACGAACGAACGAGGACGCTGATGGCGTAGGCTGTAATATAGCTGGACGTACAGGTTCAGATAATAATATGACGATTACAGTAAGTTAAAAATGAAATGGTCCCATTTGACATTTTGCCCAATTTAAATTGGGAATGTGGGCTAGTTAACGATAAGGTGTAGTCTTATATAAAGCTTAAAACGTATGTAGTATGTGATTGGATGAAATCAACCAAACCAATTATTACGCAACGATGGACAAGAGACTACTGCTAGTGCTGCTGTTCATCCTCATGGACGGCACACGCGCCGCTGGTTGCGATGACGATTGCGTTGCCGTTTCCTGTTTGCCTCATTGGTGGCGTAATACAACTGCACCACAAGTAGTTGTGGCTTCTGTCCTCATCTTCTTCGCTACGTTTTTGCCTCGAGTGTTCGTCCGTCTCCTTATCTTCGTGCTCCCAAAGTTGCCGTTTATGCGCCAGTATGAATTACTGCAATACTTGACACGAGACTGATTGTTATATACAATTACATTATGAAATAGTGAGGATGATAGGTGGTTCATAGCTAATTCACTACTCTTTCTGTTGCTGTGTAGAGTGGCCGAGGACTTTCGCGAGTCCTGTGTGGGCTCCACGTCATACTTTATCTCCATGACATTGGTTCTCTTGGCGCTCACAGTGTCGGAGCTGAGCAAGTTTTTCTGCCGCTTGCCAACATACATTTGGGGAGTCTTTTTTCTTTATTGGCTCTACTCGCTGTTTAATGTCGTACAAAGTGTGAGTTTTACGTCCCATTCTCCTCCTCTTCCTTCTTGTAATACGTAAAATTGACGTTTTTACTTGGTGATTTGGTTCGTGCAGTTGGCTGTGCGTCGGTTTGTTGGTACAAATGGAGATTTCTCCAAGAAGATGGTTATCTCCGAGTCTGTCAAGGTAAACGAAGAGGCGGGTTGGGACTGTATGCAACCACGGACGCTAACACTTCAGTCTACACACAGATTCTTCGACTCACGACGCTGCTGATCATCGCCCTTATCATCTATTCGTCTGCCCTGGGGGACAGTGCTACTTTCAAGTACTCGGTGTTGGGTGTGATTGGACTGGCAGTCGCCCTGGGCTTTGTACCGTCCTTTCACAATGTCGTGGGCGGTCTTTTTCTCGCGTTTAACTCACAGTTTAAGATCGATGATTTTATTTGCGTTGGAGACGCAGAAGGGTTCGTTCATCGCGTGTCGCTACGCTACACGACAGTGGTGAGTCTCGATGGAACAACTCTGTATGTTCCAAACAGCTTTTTTCTTTACAAACCCATGATCAATTTCTCTCAACGCCCGAAACGAGACGTGGATTTGCACGTTCGAGTTTCGCGTGGCACAGCTGTGGAGACGTTGCGACAGGCTCTTCGTCGTCTTGAGAGTATGCTGCAATCACTGCATGTTGGTCTTACATCTCACGAAGAGAATCAATCGGACTTGCGGCATGGTGAGAAGTGGGAACGGTTTTTCTTCGTAGCAATGGAGGAGCTTTACACCATACGCGTGTACTCATATACTGAAGAGCTGGATGCGCGAAAGTATGCTATGCTTAAGTCTGAAGTTTGGCTCGCGGTGACAGAAATCATGGAGGAGATGGGCATTCGCGTGTTAAGTAACGACGACCAGGACAATCCTTTTGCCGAGTCGCCACATGTCATGAAGCACTCGAGTAGCCATACTAGTAGCCTTCCAGATGATAGTAGCCTCAGAGATCCGTTCACCAGCGAAATTGGTGCTGTCGTGGGAGCGCAGCCAAATACTAATGGGACCAAAGGACCACGCACACAGCTTTGATGTTAAAGTGATGCGAAGAAACGTAAGTTATTCCTGACGTCTTTTGCTAATACGCTTTCTATTTTCATTAGTGCTGTAAACACTGAGCACTCTGGAGTTCGGCTTCGATCTCTTGTAGTTCTTGTTGCAGTTCGCGTTCGATGGTTAGAGAGCGCTCGCGCAAAGCCCAGTCCTTATCACGGTATTCAAGACGTAAGAACTTTCTAAGTCCATTAAGCATCCGTTTGTGCGACTCTTGAAAAACACGTTGTCCTTCTTGGTGTTGTACTGTGAGTGCTGCCAGCAACGGTTTGTTTGATGTATCAAGTGTTGAAACGGCACAGCGATCGAGATCACGGCCAACAGACAAGTCCAACTCGACAGCGGTGTTGTCTTGCGGAGTTGGGGTGACGAGATACGAATGATTCACATCTACATGCTGCTCAGCGTATGTGGGCGACGATGGGGCAGGTTGGCCTTCGATGATCGGATCATCGTACAAGGTAGTACCTACACCACCAACGGCAAACTCCAACACTGCGAAGTCATCAGATGATAAGCTGGTGCGTAATCGTGTTGGCGACCTACCCGGGTTGTAAAAGCTGCGCGTTGCTGGCCGCCCCTTTCGTCGCGGTGTAGAAGCACTTGAATCCCCGCGTTTATAACCGGACAAGGCTGAGTCGTCCATCGCTGGCAGACGCCGTTTTGGCTGGGCAGACGAAATTGATGACTGAGATACCGTTAACGTTTCATTTCGAATAGAGTGTCGTGAGTTTGGTGTACTTGGTGGAGTCGTTACGGTCCCCGCAATCGTTGAAAACGAAGGGTACTCGACAGCAGAATCCAGCCAGGACCCGCCATGCCACATGAATCGATACGTCACACCCAGGCATTCTAGACGAACAGCGCACAACGACCTTAGCATCGATACCATTGCGTACAAGAACACATCAGCCAGATGACGGTCTGATACTCCCAGATCCTCTCTCTCCGTCAACAGGCAGCTTTTCTGGGCAGTCTCGCCAGTGTCAAATACCATGCCAGAAGCTTCAATAACATGAGAGGCAGAAACAAAACCACCGCTATCGGGTGTAAAGAGCGAAGATGCATCGTGGCCGGCACCCGAGATTTTGCCTTCCTTAACTTGCGAAAGCCAGCTGTGCGAGTCTGGCGTGGACGATCGAGCAAGAGGGCATGCTGCAAGCTGGCTTGATGCGGCCAACCACTTCGCTTTCCGCTGACCCAGCGCTACAGCAAGCGCTTCGGCTGCCGCAGAAGATTCTCGTACTTGCTTAAGTAGCAAATGCAGAGAAACCTGGAATGAATTATCAAGTCTGTCGCCCTCGAAGCCAAGATCCAGATCATTGACTTCATCGTCAAGTCCGCACATATCGTACGGGTCGTTGTCATCGTTGGCGTAGCTGGCTTCGCTGAGCTTGCAAGCAGCCCTAGCACCTATTCGGTCATTGAGGAACTGCTTGGCAACAGCATGACAACGCGAGCCCAGATCTTGTGTAAGCTTCAGAATGCTCAGTTTGTCTTTTAAATATCCCACTTTTTGCGATACTCGCTCCAAAACTCGATGGCGATGTGTCGACCTCAACCTTTCAAGTTGCTCATCCGTAAGCCCTGGTTAGGATGCGCAGCGTAGTCAGTTTCCAGCTCCACAAAATGAACCTGGTTAGCAAATGAAGAACCGTACATGGAATGGTAAGATCGTCTTTGAACACAAGCGAAAACACTGCATCTGCATCGATGCAGCTGCGCTCACTAGCTTGCAAGTACTCCTCGGCTTCTGTTGCAGTTTTGGCATAAAAGAGTGTTTCCTCCGCGCGAAACATCAATGCAAGACCAACTCCGTAGAATACTAGCACACCACGAATGAAGAAGGCGTCCCATATTCGAAGCACCTGCATGATAAATCGATAAAAATTAGCACTACGCAGTTGTGAATAAGACTAAATTGTGTACGATCTTGGCAGAACTCGTACTGTGGGAAGAGGAATGAGCGAGGCAGTAAACAAACTCAAAAACCAGCGTTCAACTAGTCGTCCAAGAGGAAACTTCAATGCTGCTAAGTGAGAAGCGAGGGCTGGTAAGCGGTCCTGTAAGAGCGCAGTGAAAGTTGCCACATCAATCTGCAAAGCTGGTCGATAGCCGTGGAAGTAACCCGGAAGAAGCGAGTCAATTATGCTGCTCGCCGTTTTCGTTGCCACGAGAAAATGTCACACCATCAGTCGACTTTTCGTTAAGGAGGCATAAGATCAATCTGCAATACCTGTTCGTAATCCAAAAAGCGCCCTCTTCTTCCACGTACGCCAGCAGTAAGCAAGACACTCGCCATGATAATGGATGTGTGTATGGACTAAATTGACGCACAGAACAACAACACAACCAAAATTAGACGATTATCACATCCCAAGAAGCAAAGCGATAGACCGCTATCTTGTATCAACTAACTTATATCGCGAGCTTGCAATGAGAAGCCGTCGCCGTGATGCCAATTCCCACTCGGCTGCCGGGTAGTCGCTGGGGTACACATAATTGCCCATTTTACCCTTCTCAAGTTGTTTGAGCGTATTTCGTGCTGAGACATCAAAGGAATCTTTGCCGGTTTTAAAATTTTCCATCTCGATCAGCTCATCATCATCATCATTATCTATTGAATCTCGCTCGTCATCAAAAAACGATTCCCTGTCTTCGCTGAATTGATCCGACGTGTTTGACGCATCCGAAATAGCCCGACCAAATCGGCCCGTTGATGTGTGAAGCTCACCCGGGCGTACACTGACTGGTACATGTCCACTTTCTTGCAATACTAACGCACACAACCGGGAGAAAAGCATTTGGTTCTCCGGCGTATTCATTTTACTCGCGTCAATAGCCGCGGAGAACATTTCATAAATCGCGTGCTTCTTCGTTGTCGGAAGTTTAGAAGATTCCAAAGTAGCTTTGCCAGAGGATTCCCAGGGGTTCCTGCGGAATGCGGTAGCTGACTTGGATGCACTGTGGATTGCGTGCTTAAGCTCTACGCGTCGTTGAAGATCTATGGCACCAGAAAATCCTGTCCAAAGTTGTCCACGCAGCTCATCCGGGATTCCAGCACGAATTGCAGATATAACCTGTCACAATATGTTGTCAATAGAAAAGTCATGAGATAAACAAAAAGAAAATCAAGGACAGACAGCAGGTTCACCACAAGACTGCTCTGTTACTCACCTCTGTGGTCAGCCCATATTTGCCCGTTGCAATGCATTTCTCAAGCTGTGTGTACTTTGTCTCTGCATGCCCCTGCAACAATAGCTGTAACCACTTTTTCGAGCTCGGAGTAAGCTCAGCTTTCCTGGAAGTGACCATCACACCTGAAGACCCAAGGCCAGCTTTTCCTCCGCTACTAGCACCACCGCTCGATTCATCATGATCATCCACAAGCTTCAAAACGAACATCTTCGATGGAGGCGTAGCAATCCAAATCAAGCACGTCTCCCGTTCGAACGCTGGCAACTTGCCAAACTTGAACATGCCTCCATCTTTTTTCCTTCCATCTATAAGCTGCTCCCCTGTAACTCGAACAGTAGGAGCATGTCGAACGTCCACGCGGCCCTGCAGTTCGCTTAATGAATCATCTCGAAAATAGAGCAAGTCACCCGACGTCAGAAAAACGAAAAAATGCCGCTTCCAGTACGTCATGATACTCTTCGGACTGTGCACATTGCGCTCTCTTCGTTTCGTCATCCACCCTGAATGAAGAACATCAATAGTCGGATAAAATGCCGACAATGATGCCAGCAGCGACAGTCCCTGCTGTGACTCACTAACACTAAACACACATACCGTCAGCCATTTTTCTACAGTGACCTAAATACCCGAGACCGTACCCGCTCCAGTCTCTGCCATTGTAAAAAGCCAGTAAATTCACGTGCTAGTACAACAGCCAACCACCGTTCAATTACTCCTTCCCATCCATCGCAAACGACAGAAATTGACGTACAAGAGGTGTCAATACTGCAAATTTCTGGTCGTATGCGCCTGGTCTCGAGTCATTGATTTCGGAGCGATTCTGTCCACCCAGCAACAACATTTTAGTCTCTTAGACATTCAGAAACAAGAGGAAGTCTATAGTTCATTCGTCATACAAATTTCATAGGCTTCCTGCTTGATGTGGGTACAGGAGTGAAGCAGCAGATGCCCGTGGCGTCTGTGAGCGAGATGACGCCTTGAGGCGTAGACATGAGCAGAGTATTGACGTCCTTGAGTGTGTCATAGTGACGTAGCTCTTTCATCCCATTGGGCGTTGACAGGAACACAAAATACCGTTTCCGCCAGCGCTTACTGAAGCGCCCAAGCTTCTTGAGCCATCCATGCCAGAGCACAGTAACGCCGTGTGGACTGTAGAATCCTGACGGATTGGAGCTAGTTCAGAACACAAGAAAAACATGGGTATGTATGTAAGACAATGAGGCAAATAAAGGCAGCGTTTAATCGATTGAAAACAAGCGTCATCTTGAAGAACAACAAAGAGATAGAGGACGTACTTGCTCCGCGCCTTTTGCATCCTTTTTGGCTTCTGTCGCTGCCCACGATTTGGTGTGTCGTACATATTACGAGCATTAAATCGGACTGCTATAATTTTATCAAATTACTCGTATTTCGTGCTTAATCCTGCCTAAAACGTCGCTCATGCAGTCTCGCTCCTGCAGTGTCGCCTTAAAAACGTCGGAAGCTTCGGCGACGGAGAAAGTAGTAGTACACGCCACCGATTAATGCACCACTGAGGTGTGCAACATGACCAATTCCATCCTGTTGGTCCGTCACAAAGGAGTACGCGTCTTTAAAAATAAAGAGTGATCCAGCTAGCCACGCAGGCATGGGCACAATGCCAAAGATCAGCACTGTCCCGTGCGGGAAGAGCAGAATGCTCATTGCCGTGATACCGTTCACTGCTCCACTTGCACCCAAGTTGTAAGTTAATTTCCCCGACATCTTTTGCTCAAGCACCGCTGCAGCGGATGAGAGCACGCCGCTCGTAAGATACAACCCAAGGAACTTCCTGTGGCCCAATACATCGCACAGCTGTCTTCCAAAGAAGTAGAGGCCAATCATATTGGCACCCAAATGACCCAAAGTAGCTTGACTAAATATGGACGTCAATAGCGTATAGTACCGACCTTCCTGTAGATGTTGCGTGGACGTCGTAAAATGCGTCAGCATTGTCCTCGTGGACACTTGGAAGCGGCGCATCTGTTGCGTCAGATGTCGAGGAGGCGACACCTGTGCACGAAACCAGCAAAATGTAACTGCAACATTGACGGAAATGAGTCCCAATACCACCCACTCGCCCGACACAGCGTGGCTTGGACGTCGAATACTGGAACGGTAGTGGTACTGCTGACGCATTTGCTGCTCCATCGACCCCTTGTGCATACGTGACGGCAATCGTGAGTGAGAAATCGGCTGTAATGCATTTGATAGTTTAGTGCCGAGTTTAATACTGGCAAAAGTACGCGCCGTCGCGGGTCGCAAAAGCGTAGGGCCTAAGAATGCCGTCCTTAACATTTTAGGGTTTCCAAAAAATGAGGTTTAAGCTGAGAAGTTAACGTCACATGATTTACAGCTGCGGCCACCGAACCTTTTTCCAGTCTGGGCATTCAATATTATTATTTAATTACTGTAATAATATTTATTTTTATTTGAAGAATTATTTATATGGTCATTAATACCACCATTAAATAATATTATACAATTACAAGGGTTTAAATTAATTCGTATTTTTTTAATATATGATCTCATTAAACGTGCGTGACCAATTGGACGTCAGATAAGTTCACCAGAATACAAGCGGAATCCCAAACGGCAATTGTCATGCCAACAATCGGGAGATCCGCTGTAGATTCGTTACTGCTTGATGAGGGGTGTAACGGGGTTACACGATGGTTCTAACATCATACCGAAAGTACATTACGGTTAAAGTTCTATATTGCATATTATGCACTCTTCATACAGATCGTTTAGAATGGGTATTATAGATGAGTGATATTTTAAGGTATTAGTTATACCTTATACTATTGGTACTGTATCAGTTTCATAATTGATACAGTAGTACTAAGTACAACATACACTGATGATTGGACAATTCCATATCCAGATACAAGCAATGGCATATTGTAATTATTATAATTATTATTAATCTAGTGTAGGGTGCTTAGAGTAGTATTCACAAAATCTTAAAGCATAAGTAAATCATTTCTCCTTTTGAGTTTAAGATCGCAAGTCTCTCCAAGACTTGTTCTCTTGTGTACTTCGTGCGTTAGTTCTCTGAACCTTTACGCTCCTAGCTTGTTCTTGCACTCTGTGTGTTGGCTCTCTGAACCTGAAGCTTATTGCTTGTAGACTAAAAGTCTCTCCTAGCTCCTTAGAACAGGGTGACTTCTTAGTCGTTTGATTAGTTCCTTAGAACATAGTGGCTTTTAGCCGAAACTTTAATTAGTTCTATACAAACCAAAAACTTACAGCCTAAAAAGTCTCCCGCTGACTTAACAGCTGTGTAGCTCCGCTACAAGGGTCATCCGTGGCTAAAATAGCGCAAAGTTAT